TCTTTAAGATGTGGCAATAACCCTTGGAAAGCCAGATCGGCAAGCTACCGATCATCCAGCACCAGGCTGTAGCACTTATTTTTTACATCTCGTAGCCTTTGCACAAAGCTTTCTACCGATTCATCATTACGCTGTCTCAATTTTACTAAATCGGTAAGCTTCTTTTCATGGATTCCAGCAAAGAAATACTTATGAAATTGTTTTTCTAGATCAGCCCAAGTAATAATAGAATTTGGTAGTAATAAAATGAACCATGTAAATGCCGATCCAGACAAAGATGATGAAAATAATCGAACTCTTAATTCATCTCTGCTAGCTGCCTCTCCACATTGAATAATGAAGCGATTGACGTGTTCCATTGTTGATGTATCATCTTGCCTAGAGAATTTAGTAAAATCTGGTACCTTGTACCGATTTGGGAGAGGAATTAAATCATATGCAGGAGGGTATGGAGTCCGATAAGAATAAGTATTGACCTTGGGCTTTATCCCAAACTGATCCTTCATAATTTCTGCTATCTTATCGGCCCAAAAAGCATCAGCCTCCTGGCGATTTAACCGGCTGAATTTCTACAGAGGTACTGCGATATCCCTCCACATATCTTTGTGGCCCACGATCTCCAAAGAATCAAAGATATTTGCCGTTACTTGTGGTCCATTAACTCTCTTTGAAAGGATTCATCGGTGAGCCGATGCTTGATTCTCGAAACCACTTGCATATGACCTTGTTGAATCCTCGCAACTCCGCTGATTTTGCTGAACTATATGTTGAACAGTGTAATCGTCACCGACCAACCATTATTATCGAACTCATCGGTACAAAACTTACCGATGGTCGGTAATTCTGTGACATTGTTGGATAATTATAACCACTTTGAGGCATGAACTGAACCCTAGTTTGACTCATAGCGGGGGCTTTTCTCTTGCATCGGCGATAAGCTTGCCGATGGACTTGAATTGGGTGTTTGAACCAAAGGCATCTTGAAACCTCCTGGAGTTGGTTGCATGGTAGTCTGCTGTGGGCATATTGAGGCACTTGAGCCATCGGCGAAACAAATTGATGGTATAGGAGCATTTCCTCATCGCATCAAACACTTGAGGTAACCCGAGATTGAAAGCGATGACTCGAGGCATACCATATCCCCACCAATTAGCGAAATCGCTATTCTCGAGACACAGGGGCACGAGATATAGCGATGCCGATAGATCTCGTATTAAGTGAACTCGTCCTCCCGGGTAGTACCGGATCTGATCGTATCGGTGTAGATTGAATATTAGGTAAGCCTGCCGATACTGGAGGAGAAGTAACTTATGTACCCACAACGGCCGAGGGAGCCGATGGAGTATTGACAGATGCCGGCTCTGGTTGGTGATAGGCAGGCCCAATGTAATGCGGTGACGCTTGTCCTTCTTTGAGAGTTCGAACCACAGCATTATGAACAGTATTGGACATCACATTGGAATGATTAATCAAAGCATGATTTACTGCAGAATTAACCATCTCTTGAAGTTTACCAGGATTGGAGTCAAAGGTAACCTGCCGAGGCAACGGCAAATCTTGCTTCTGGATGACTTGTCCACTCTTGTTCAGGCTAAACGATCTCAGACAAAGCTGCATGTATTCTTCTATAGCCTTTTCCATGGCCTCCGCCTCTCTCTTCCTTAAGATCTTCTTCTGATACCGCGATAATGTTCCCTAATCGATCTCGGGATTGATCATATTGATCGGATTGATTGGTCCCACTGAGCGTGCCAAAAGATGTGTTGATGCAAAAGTGGATCTGCAAACACAAAGGGCTAATACCCAAATCGATATCCAAAGCGTGCCAGTCGATTTGACCTGTTAATCGACAAGGATGAAGATACGAGCACTTTGGTCCTGACAACAGCGATACGCCTGGAAGTCATGGCCAAGAGGTACTCACGTGGAACTCGAGAATCGCCGAAGGTCGCACTAAAGCGATGCAACTCGCCGAATCAATGAGAACTCATAAAAAGGAAAAAATATGCAAATTGACGAAGTCATCGAAAAGTAAGTAGATGCAAATAGGAGTAAAATTGGTTTTGATATTGATTGATCTCTATTACATTGCCCTCAATCTATATTTATACCACGATCTAAAGAGACATAACCAAATACGACTAGGACACCAAGTCCATATCTAAGGAAACACGTGACTCTTATGAAATCATACTCTAACAAATATAGAAAAGGAAATCAACTCCTATCTATTTCCCCGTCCGCCTCAATTACGATGGAATTCTCACCGACCTCCTTTCCATCGGCATACTTCCCTGTTTCATCGGCAGTAGTTTTCAAGCCTTCCTTCATCGGCATCGACACTAACATCTCCAACCTTATCGGCAACGCCCGAGTCTAAATCAACCTTTCCATCGATCACCACCATTCATCGGCAACCATCTTTACAAGCTGATTTTCATCGGTACGTCGGTAGATATCAAGAAACTTTCTCTCCTCCCGATTAGCCCACTCGATCATTTTGACACGTGCAAAAACGGTGTCAACAATGAGTTGATGTAGATGTGGGGAGTTTTCTCCCTATAAATATGTACCAACCCCTTGGGCAAAGCACACCAAAACTACCATAAGGGGAGCCCCTAGTTTGGAAAATCCCTCGTGTAGTAAATTAGATTTTTCTCCTCCTTCTCTCGCCGTCGCCGTCACCGTCATTGTTTCTTTCTAGTAGATTTAGAATACGTTTTCTCTTCTAGAAAGCGTAAAATCCCTCTGTTAGATTCAGAATACGTTTTCTTCTTTTGAAAACATAGTTTCTTCAGTTGGATCCAAAATATGCTTTCATCTATTCATAGTTTTGCCACTAGTCTTATTTAGGCCATAAAATCTTCGTTTTAACTCCGTTTTGATCCATTCAAGTTGCGTTAGATTCCTAATTGAGTAATCTACATATTCATTCTACTATTAAATATATTTGTAACTTTTGAAAATCGAGGTTAGATTTAATCTATTATTTTATTAAAGGAAATTTTGTTTAATTCATAACTTTTTCATTATAGCTCCGATTAGAGTGTTTTTCGCGTATGTGTGTTCGTAGTAACGTGTAGAACATCTTTAAAACCTTTTTACCTATTGTTTATTATGTTTGGTGTATTTTTCTAATTTATTTCTATTGTTTGTTTTGTGTATGATTGTATGGATGCTTGTGTGGTGCTTTATGATCATGTCCAGTCGATGAGCTTTGCGTTGGTGATATAAAATAAGTTGGTGATCCAGAAGAAGTCCTTTGAAGGTTACAATTCAATATAAGTAGGATTTGAATTTAAGACAAGTATAGCATGGGATCTTCCTTGGTGTCCTATTCACCTTAATATTATTTTAATCATATGCATCTGTCTACCTTGGCAACCGTAGTAATTTTCCTCGCTATTTGATATCCTGGATTCTTTGATTCCTATGGGTTATTGCATTGGGTAGTATGATGCTAGTGCTCACACTAAAGCCATGATCTTGTAACTTGACTAATGGATTATGCAATAAACATTAAAATATGCTTTTTAGCAACATAGAACATGGGGCTAGAGCATTGGACTATTTTATGGTACTTTAGATTTCTCTCCCTAAGGACTTATCTGTAAGCAAACATCCGTGACTTACAGTACAGCTATGAGGGCTACATGGCTCTGGCTTTAGCTCAGTATGAGGACCTTTTTCTACCTTGTTAGTTGTTGCCTTTATGGCGCAAGAGAGGCTCCGACAGGTATGATCTCGGCCTGCTAAGAGGGTGCACTTTGGTTTCTTGATATTTTGTTAGTCACTCCTTGGAGGGCGGTTTATGCTTATTGATGGGGAAACTTTAACGGCCCTAACTTATTAGATGAATATTTGAAAGGCTTCATAGAGAACCCTGCCGATCTTCCTTGGTAGTGGGTCAAGACATTGGCCGCCTCAGAAAAAATGGTAAATCATGACTCACAGTGAAAGTGTACAACCTCTGCAATGTGTAAAACTGGTATATCAGCCGTGCTCACGGTTACGAGCGGCCTTGGACCCTTACAGAATAGATGATCACTAAGAATTTTCTGTTTATGCTATTCATTACTCATGTTTAGATTGATCATGTGTTTTACTTTGGGATTGAAACAACTTGTTGCTACTCTTATGCTAAAATTGTGACAATTAAAAGCTAATCGCAGTTAACCAATGTCAGCCTTTTGAGCCTCATGAACCCCATGTTATATTTGATGAGTACGACATGTACTTATGCTTGCTTTAGTTTTTAAATCTTTGGAAAAATTCCGGATGGGTAACAGATTGCTAGTCTGGAGGAGTTAGGCTTGTGATCAACCAGTCAGTTGTCCCTGTGGAATTGGAGTCTTCACCCGAAGATCGGAGTTGTCTTTCCGCTATTTGCTGTCTAAGATTATATCCTTTATAATAAGTACGTTATATATTGAGTATTGTTTTTCGATATTACCCTTATTTTTAGCTATATCTAAAACCAGGTGCTAAGGGGGCAAAAACTGCATACTTTTGATTCAACCACATGCAAAATCCACTTGCTGTGGTTGGTCAAACAAAATCCTAATGTGAATCAAGTATCTTATTCAATGTATCCAAGCTTTTCTGGGTTGTACGGCATGCACATGCACTACTTAGATACAGACTAAGCCATGCATCTGAGCCGCTCTGGTGAAGTAAACCGTCCAAAAGGAGCTGCCCCTTTTGCAAGTGTTACTCCACACGTGCAGACATACAGATCCTCTAAACCAAGCTTATCCAAAGTTCGAAACTAATCCATCTGGACAAGTTCATGGAAATTCATATCCCCATGGCTTGTATTGGACAAAACGACCAATGCAATCCATCGTCATTCCTTTTTCAGCTAAACCTGATCCAGGTAGCTTGTATAAATACCCCAGCCTGTTGACCATGGTTCTTACCAGTGCATAGCAGACTAGCTGACCATCACACACAGACAGATCAACCACAAGTGCAAATAGATAGCCCAAGCTTTGTCAACAATGGAGATCGTCTCATCGAAAAAGCTAGCGTGGTTCGCGCTCGCGTTCACCGTGGTGGCCGCCGCCGGTGTCGCTGTGGCCCAGAACACGGCGCAGGACTTCGTGAACCTGCACAACTCACCGCGCGCGGACGTGGGCGTCGGGAACGTGACCTGGAACGCCACGGTGGCGGCGTACGCGCAGAGCTACGCGAACCAGCGCGCGGGCGACTGCCGGCTGGTACACTCCGGCGGCCCTACGGGGAGAACCTTTTCTGGGGCTCGGCGGGCTACGCCTGGGCGGCGTCGGATGCCGTGGGATCCTGGGTGGCGGAGAAGCAGTACTACGACCACGCCACCAACACCTGCTCCGCGCCGTCCGGCCAGTCGTGCGGCCACTACACGCAGGTGGTGTGGCGCGCCTCCACGGCCATCGGCTGCGCCCGCGTCGTCTGCAGCAACAACGCCGGCGTCTTCATCATCTGCAATTACTACCCGCCCGGCAACGTCATTGGACAGAGCCCTTACTAGCAACCTATATATATACATTGTGAGCAGCAGCATCGTACGCGCGCGTGATGCCATGCATGTCAGCATGTTGTGTTACTTATTATGCGGCCCGCATATATGCATTTCAAGATTCATGTAGCTGTGAAATTTATTATATATCAAATAAATCACGTGGATCTGTGAGACATATATATAGCTACCTTTCCCTTTATATTATTTGTTCTTGATCTAAATTTTGGTCCGCTCACGTACTAGCAAACTGCAATGCGTTACACCAGAACGCGTACAACTTATTACATGATCATGTGGATGTAAGATTTGTGGCTCGGAGATTTATTAAATGATCGTCATCTATTTTGACATATTTGAAATCGAAATCTGTACGGTCGCTTGACACATCTTATAAGATTTTGTATCATCGTTAGGCTCGCACTAACTCATATAATTAAGTACGGGCCATGAGTCCGAGTAACATATGAGATAGAAAGGGACATGTGAGCATTGTTAGAATTGAAGTAAAAAAAGATGGACGGAAGAATCCCTTCTCCCTATAATATTAACTTGCTCATGCATTGTAATGGAATGTATATAGCCTGTTGTGCAGTCACTTTGGAGTTTGGACTGTTTGCGCCCAGAGATCTATTCAACAACAGGGTCATTTGTTCCAATACATCCTGAAATCCAACTCCGTACCATCGCTGGACACATCTTAGAATTGCACTCCATTGTTGGATGCATGTTGTTGTAACTCATATGAGTATGGATCATTGTTCTAACTCATATGATGACAGGTCGTGAGTCCGGGTCAGATATAGGACAGGGGTATGAAGGCATTTTAGGAACTAAAAAACATGGACAGAAGAACCATTTTGCTCTTATGAATGACAGCAGGTAGCAAATAGTGTAGATAATATTCCTACTGTGGACACTTAAGAAGCTCAAAATGCAGGGTGACCACCGACAAAATGGAGAAGAAGGTGATTATCATACCATGTTTTGGATTCACATAAATAAACCTAACTTCCTGTTTTTAGTATGATGTGGAAGGAGTTACTGTTAGCTTGAAAGAGTCTCTCTGTTAGCTTACTTTTACTTGTATCAGTATTTCAGCATGGTTATTTGTTATCATCCTTTTTGTGCACCTTGATCTTATGATCATGTTGATGTTAATTTGGGCATAAGGAAAGTGATCATTGGCACACTTTAGATTTCAAATACCTATTATATAGCTATCAGTTGCTAGAGAAGGGGTTTTAGAAAAAAAAAACTTTTGTTTTAAATACACAGGTGACAATTAACGTTGAATCTTGCTCTGATACCAGTTGTCGTAGAACCGATCAATTTATAAGAGTACAAGTACAATGGCGGCCCGCAAACGGTCGCACTTCCATACTTGAACCCATATAAATCCGGTAGTCCGTCGAGTACCACGACGGGTCTCGATAAACGATTTACAACAACCAAGATCGTACATGATTCAACATACATACCACATATTACATAAAGTTCACAGATACATTTTCATCATCAGAGTATGAAACCAGTTATTACAAACCGAGGTCGATAGATAAAAGCGGAAGCAAATTAAGTTTGAAAGTAAAGTTTCCAACATAGTTTAATACAGTGCCAAAATACGATCACGGTCCACAAAAGCATGTAGAAGGATTAATAAGAAGCTTGCCCAAGGCTTACTCCTCATCCACAGCGGGATAGAAGCAACTCTTGCAATAACCATGATACACAGTGCCATCTGCAACATGGGAAATAAAACCCTGAGTACGAGAAGGTACTCAGCTAGACTTAACCGTTATAAACCAGAAATAAATTGACTCCAAGGATTATGCAAGGCTGTATAAGTGGGGATAGCTTGACAACATTTTGCATAAAAGCGATTAACTTAGTTATACAATTATGGTTCCAATATCAGGTTAATTATAACTATCCATCTCTAGATTAGCAACTATCCTGTGCCAAACATGTGGTATATCCATTTAAAAGCATACAATAGTAACCATAGCAGGTATTGCAATTCCATATTCATCCGAACCATCATGTTCCATAACACAGTTACTACGATGTTGGGACTAGCCAAGTTTCTCACTATCCGGGAGAGACGGCGATTCGAATCGATTTCAACCAGCTGGGAATTTATTCCCAACACAAACCCAGGCATACCGCGCGAAGGCAGCCTTAGGTCACCTTTGGTACATCTCAGGTACACATTTCACGGGTCCGTACCACGTCGCATAATCTGGGACACCAGATGCCAGGATGTTCAGGCCTAACCTACCCTTGGGCTCAGTCTGATCGCCCCCCACAAGGAGCGCACAACAGAACGGGTCCCGCCCTAAGTTGAGCTACTCAGCTTCGTGGTCAGAACGAGTTATCCGGCCAGCTAAGTGATAGTCATGCGTTCAATCTTGTCAGAAGCACCAACAACGGTACGGTCCTTAATCGGCTCAGACGGAATCACATGAGTCATCCTACGCATAGACTCCGCCCGGCCTCGATTTTCTTTTACCCCATGGTTCTGTTCCACGATAGCAAATATAGCCAACCGTGCTCTGGTATCCACCTATATCTCGCAGGTGACAGGACATCACCTGACTTCTACCGGTCTAAGCATGGCTAAGCATATGTTCGATCCTGGACCTATACCGGTTAAAGGTGTAATATCTGGACAAGGAATTTATATGCATCAAGTGGTTCCATTCAACTCTTATAACCAAATGCATCAATCATAAGTACTTAAGTAATCATTTGTAAAATACTGGGAGACTTAGAATGCTCCGGGGTTTGCCTTTCAGAAAAGAAGTAGGGCGGTGATCAGGACACTCCAGAAAGCTCTTCAGGATTCTGCTCCTCGCCTTCGGGACCTGCGACTTGAGGATTCTCCTGCTGGTCCCCTTCCTCTACTTCGTTGAATTCCAGCAACGTTATTTCTTCCTTCGATCCTAGATGCATGAATATGGCATAATATATTGCGAATGCAAATATGTTAACAAGTGTGGTTTGATGATACATGAAGAATGCATTCTGGCAAATATTCTTAATGGCATGTGGTTTAAGTAACAACAAGTGCATCGCGTTTACTGAATAGGTGCATATCTTTTCTTGATTATGCAATCAACTACTTCAACAATTCATCAACTATTTCACAAACAGCAGCTACTTGTTTTACTTATAACTGAAGTTATACTTATCCAAATGCTGTGATCTTAGACTTTCTGGAAAGCTTATAAAATTATCTACAACTCTTATTTAATCACCAAAAGCTAATTCACACTTTATCTTAACCAAAACAGAGAATCAATCCAGCGCTGTCCAGAAATTCCAGAGAGCAAGCAATTTGGAAATGCTAACTTTAAACAGCTACAAATCCTAAACCGTTTGACCTATGGCTTTGAAATTTTAACACAATATAGATGAAGAAGTTACCTACAACTTTGTTATTAACCATTTTTACAGCAACCATCATTTTTACTACGCAACATTCTAAACCACAGAATCGGTCCGAAAACTCTTCTCTCCCGAATTATAAAGCAACGCTATTTCTATTGCATATAAACTTTCCAAATTTGACTTCACCAATCATACCAACAGTACAAGGACATCAAATACACTCAAGAAAACATAATGGCCATGCCCAAACTATTTATTTAAATACCTTTATCAATTTACTAAGATACTTAGGTTAAATAATAAACATATATCAAATGTGCATCATAATTTCTCAGAAAATTACAGTGGCTTACTAGTGCTACCAATAGACTACTGTAAAAGTTTCATGCCATTTTACCAAGTAAAACATCCTATACAAAAATGACAAGGCAGCAAGGCTTGAAATAGCATAAATAGAAAACCCTAGTGAAATGTGTCAAGCAACAGATTTTATATTTTTGTTAGCATACATATGGTACTAGGATCTCCTCCAACAAATTTCATGAATATTGGATTCATAAATAATTTATAAAAATTCATACAAGGATCTCCTAATTATAAAAGGAAAATCTATAACTACAAATCTATACATGCACTGATCCTCAAAATTTTACCAGATCTGATACATGTCAAGAATAACTTGCTACCAAAATTTCATAATTTTTGGAGCACAGGAACTCTAGATATAAAATAAACAATTTTGCATGCATTCAAAAACATATTTCAAATTTCCATTTAAATCTTCCAAAATTTCTACTATAAGTATCAAGACTATATTTTTTCTAAATACTACACTTCCTAAGTAACACTACCAAATTTATTTCACAATTTTTGAAGCTACAAAGCTGGAGATACAAATATTACAAAACAGCACAAAATCTGGAATTAATGAACTATCCTATACTCTCACTGCCGCTGATCGATGGATCCCGCTGACAGAGGACCCCACGCGTCATTGACTCAAAAGCAGAGTGGCGGCGCTGTACGCTGCTGGCGCGGCCAAAGCTCGCCGACGGCGAACTCGCCGGCGGTGACATCATCACGGGGGGGACCTACTCGACCTAGCGCATCTATTGCACTACTTGGTCGGCCCTATTGTCTACTTAGGCGGGACGACGGCGGTACGCCGGTGACGACCTCGGCGGGTCAATCAAACGCACGTACAAGCATCTATGAACTACGGGAAACCTAGCGCATCAACTAGCGTAGCGAGAGGTGGACTGTGGCGGCGTGGCCACGATGACGGGGTTGGCAGCGGGGCAACGACGAGCTTGCGCGCGGCGCTGTGGCTTACCAAGCACCGTCAGCAGACACGGGTGGACGCAGCGGGTTGCTGGGGTGGCGGTGGAGTGCTGCGGTGGTGATGGAGTAGCTAGGCGCGAGCTGGTGCCATCAACGGCGATGGCGGACTCTCGGTGCGGGGACGGCTACTGCTGCGGGCGCTGCGAATGGCGAAGGAGGAGCTGGGAAATGCGAAATGGTGCGGCTGGCGGAGCGGGCGGTGCAGGTGTTATGTGCTGCTGGCTCTGCTTTTTTGCATATTGGGCGGGCGTCGGCGACGCGCGGCCAGCCGCTGGCTC